CCACCCCTATTAACAAAATACTAAACACTGGAACAGGGGGGAACCTTTCCATTTACTGTCATTCCTCCACCTCAGCCCTACTTTCTTAAATAATTTTTTTTTTTGAGAGAATTATTTTGGATACTATTCTGGGAGCAGATTACCTCAACTAGATTTATTTCCTGAGAAACCCTTCCCCCAACTTGCTTTTATATTACAAATGGTAGCTCTATAGTTATGCTACATTGTGGTTTAGTTTTGCCCATGCCAATTATGACATCAAATTGTCTCCATGTTACAGCTTTTCCAGGGTAGTAACTCAAACTATATACCTGATTAAAACACTGTTTAGTTTCATCTGCATAGGCAGGATCAAGAAGTATTACAATACAAATAGAGTACCTGCAATGTTATAACATGTCCTTCCACCATGCTAGGTTAAGTAGTGCCGCTAGCCAGGAATTACTCACTCAGCTTGGATAATAAATAAATACAAGTGAGCAAGGAAGAAAGAGTCCCATTGGCACTGACTGCAAAACAACACAGTTGGGACTACCAACACCAGCAGTTACAATCTAAAACCTGGCTTCTAGGAAAAAAGAGGAGGCAATTAACAACTTAGTAAGGAAGAAGAACACAATTCCAGAAACTCCTTTAAACTCTAGAGGGAGTGAGCTGTCAGGAAACTGACTCCAGTATTGTTCCCTTTCTGTTACACATTACAATCTAGAGTGTGCCAAATTCATCTAAAATTTAAGACTGGAGAAGGGAGGAAGCAAGTGACTAGGAAATCTCATTCCTTCCTGGAAAATAGCAGGGGTAAGATAATCAAAGTGACCATTTTCAACCCTACACTTAGTATTGAAAATATATTTAGTTGGAAAGTAGCTTTTAAAAGAAGGTCCTTTGAGGTGCTACCAGTGTTAACTAAGCATCACAGCACCATAAATTATCTCCTTTTCTACTTTTATATTTAATGAAGGCTCAGAGGTTTGCACTTCTTGACATGTAAAAAGCAGTAGCAATGTCAGGAAGAGAGCCTGATTCTACTCCATGATTTAATCCTAGAGGTAGGCAGCCTACTTTGCTAGAGTTACATTATGTATGATTATAGACAACATTGGCCCCTCCAGTAAGCCATGTATGAGAACCATTTGTAATTGCCATTACATAAATGTATATAAAAATTACAGTACAGGCCATATTAGCAATAAGAGTGCAAGGCCATAGGATTGCAGTATGCATTTCAGAACCATCCTGTGAAAACTGTATACACCTACAGTAGCTATTTAAAAGCTGGTCTTCACAAAGTTCCTCAGGAATAAATATCAGACTTCATAAATTCACATTCTACTTCAGTCAGGATTATCTTTCAAATGTAAATAAGCTTTAACTGGGGAGATAGGGGGAAGGGCTATTGCTAGACTACAGAGATTGGTTATTGATGATTCTGTTTTGTGAAAACAGGAAGTGAAGTATGGGGATGCAGGATTCCAACACAATCCAATTGATGCAAAGTAAATTGGTTGCCCAGCAGGTGATTCTTATTTTTCACAGTGGTTACTCTAGTTCCCAGGTATACTGGATCCTGAGGCAAATCCTACTGTAGGGAAGCTGCAGGTAAACAGGAGGGAAGAGCGCCCTCTTAATTTTTCTAATGCGCCTCTACACCTCAAATTTTTTTGAAAAATTAATTAATTTCAAATTTCAAATTAATTTGAAAGAGGAAAATATCTTCTGGGAATACCACTCTTTCAGGCTACAAGCTGGGTCCAAAGTTGTCAACAACTTTGCTTTATGGGAATCACCAGTCCTGTTTTAAGTGAGTTAAAAGGGGGTAGCTATGGACATGGAAGCTGTCCCTGTACCTACTATTATCTCACAGTAAGTGAAAGCAAAGCCAAAGTGAAACAAGGCTAAGCTCCACAGTTTAGCTTTCATTTACTTTGGGCTAAGAGCAAGTGCAGGGACATTTGCTATACAAGGTCTGCTGTACCTCACTGTAATTTGTCCTAATGCCAAGTGATCTCATACTGCAATTCCACTGTATTCAACAAAGGATTTGTTTTGCTTCAATTGCTTTGCCAGCAGAAGCCAAATAAAAGTAATAGAAAAACATAGTTTCATAGTTAGTACGGTTGGAAGGGACCTGAGCAGATCATCGAGTCCGACTCCCTGCCATGGCAGGAAAGAGTACTGGGGTCAAACAACCCCAGCAAGGTGATTGTCTAGCCTTGTCTTAAAGACCCCCAGGGTAGGAGCCAGCACCACTTCGCTTGGAAGTTGGTTCCAGATACTAGCCTCCCTGACAGTGATGTCAAATTGACAGATGATGTCCATCTGGGTGGAGTGTGTAGCAGGGCCACCCATGCCTGGGAAGGGTCTGTCACCTCCTGGCAGTTGGTTTTTACCTGCTTGTCCTCCTGACGTCCTGGCTGCTCGCACCTGCCACATCTTGCTGTTACCAAATACATAAGAACAGGCCCTCAGTTCAGTCAGGTATCAATCTTGGGTGCCCTATTCATTATTCATATTGCTGGGCCACCCCTGTGGAGTGACAGTGTTGCTGGACCTCTCTCAAACCATTCTCAGTCTTATCCACCCAATCACTCCCTTGGGCTCATCACTTTGTACCACTCGCTCCACTCAGTATGTGATAGGAAACCAGTTCAAATCTATACCCTAACAGAAGTTCCATACACAAACCACTTTCAAAATGACCAAAATTGATTTAAGATAAACCTGGATGGATGTATTATCAGACTGAGCAGATTTAGGTTAAATCAGTTTATTGAACTTCTGCCCCAGATCCCCTCCACGTTCAAGTCAATATCCACTTCTCAGGGTGGGTGGGCTAGCTTTGACCCATCTCTCTGCTTCAGCCAAAAAGGGAGGTGTGCTCTAGCATTCCCTCTTCTCTCCCCCGCTCTGTGGCCTGGGCCACTGAAGGCATATGGCTGCATTTCCAGAATCAAAAGTGAATGTCTATTCACTTGCTTATCACTTCAATCTATTCAGTTTTGACTAACCTGCAAAGATTTAACTGATTTAGCCTTAGGCTTTTTGACTGTCTATCCTTAGCCTGGGTGCACCAATTCCCATGTGCACACTGAGGATATTTATCAATCGTATATTCTGGGCAGCTGCATGGCAAACTAGGATCATTCACTTATATGCATAAAACAGGTTACATTAAAAAATGTGAATCCTAGGAAACAAACAACTAGTGGAGGGTCCTCTAACCCTTTAACTTAATGATTAAGCCACTCACCTTAAGCATAGGAGACCTGGGTTCTATCCTCCCACTGAGGGAATTTTGAACCACAGTCTCCTCTTTTCCCAGGAAAATGCTGTATTTATGAGGTGAAAAGCTAGTCATTAGCCAGAGCCCTCTCTTGAGGCTGGTTGAGTAGGCATCCAAGAAATGGAGATATGCATGGTTAAGGAGGCCTTGGTACCCCCTCCTCCGCTCAGCAGGGTTCTCCAGTCCCAACCAACCCATAAACAGACAACACACTCCCCCAGTGCTCTCAGCTGCCTCCCATCTCCCCTCTCCAGCTGCCTCATGCCTGTGGCAGGACTTCTACACCTGGATGTCACCCTTGTTAGAAGCAGTGCAAACCCAAACACAATCCACTTCAGCCAGGGCCTTTCCCCAGAGCCCGTCCCCCACAGGCCTCTACTCAAATCCCAGCAGGCTTTCCTAGCTACAGCCCTGCTGGGCCTGCTCACTGTTTTGTAGCATAGCCTCTGCCGCTCTCCAGGGAGCTCCTCTCCACTGTACTGCCACAGCCTGACCAACTGCTCTGCCCTGGAGCTGGGCTTATGCGTCCTCAGGTGTTGCTTTACACATCCCAGCCTCCAAGCAATAGTTTATTTCTGTCCCCAGGAAAAAAAAAAAGGTATGTGTGGTACTGAACTGAGCACCACCTTTACATATGCCTCCCACCCAAGGCAATGGAAACTGAAATCATAAACCACTGCTTTGTATCTGAGCTTTGCAGTTCTGCAGGATCACTTGCAACATCTACCTCTACTCACTTCAGGATACCCAGGAGCAGTGCATATGCAACACTGCCTCAACTCCCCGCCCGGCCAGAGTAAAAAAAAAAAGATAACCCTTTAATTTCTCACTCAACTTCAGACCATGGCACCTTTATCTTCTGGGTAAATAGTCTTCCTTCACAGATTTATTTCTAGAAAGATTATCACATCTTTCCCTTTGCCTGAATGCAGACTATTATCTACAGTTATATAAGTAAATATTCCTTTAATAAACAATTCAGATACTGAACATGTATATTTACAGAGAATCATGGTATACCAATATTTGACAACACCAAGGCAATATACAGAATAGTACACCTAATCCATATTTGAAGTTTCCCAGACAAAAATAATCTTCCCTCCCCTCAAAATCAGCCTGAACCATATTTTAAGTTATGGTTTCTTTATCTAGAAGGGAGTACCTAGAGTGCAGATAAGCAATCCTGTATTAATTTATTTCAATATTCTCATCACACAATTTACATATATAAAAACACACTTTTTCTATAAAGGAAACATTTTTTCCTAAGCATCCATGGACACTGTACGTTCTTTTATTTACAACAAGTCTTCACAATTTCCCATCTTTATGCTTTGCTACCTTTAATATTTAGCGCACACTACTTTTTTTATTTTTTATCTAGTAATTTATTCTGTGTAGTACATTATTTAAACTCCAGTTAGAAAAAACAGAAACTACCTACAGATGCCAAAGTAGTGCAGGCAGTTAGTTAAAAAGAATGACAATAGAACAGAAAAAAAAA